GTGGAGCTGACGTAACAGAGGGGTTGTATGCTCCCCTCTGTCTGCTGCCCGTTGGACCACTTGGAGCTTCTGAACAGTCTTCAAAGGCAGTCTCACATAGAGTGTATTGCAGCAGTCTATTTGGGAGTAACAAGAGCATGGACTACTGTGGACAAATCTAGAGTAGTGTTTTCTCTTCTCTAAGTCATCCATTATGACTGTATGGTCAACATACAGCAGAAACTGAAAATACAGTTGCACTGGAAAACCTTGAGTATATTTTAATCAAATCCACAAATAATTAGATCAGCAAACCCATAAATGTGGAGGACTGCCTGTCATTCCTTTTCATGATTATAACCAATGGACCATGTATGTAAGTATACGATCCATCTTATGCAATTTAAACAGCATGGTCCATTCACTATTGCTTAAAAGAAAAATGGCTCTGGATCTTTAACATTCACCTAATTAGGTGTTTGGAGCTCTCAGTGGCGCAGCAGGTTAAACCACTGAGCTGCTGAACTTGCTGACCGAAAGGTCTGTGGTTCGAATCCAGGGAGCGGGATGAGCTCCCACTGTTAGCCCCAACTTCTGCCAACCTAGCTTCTGCCAAACATGCAAATGTGAGTAGATCAATAGGTACCGCTCTGGCGGGAAGGTAACGGCGTTCCATGCAGTCATGCTGGCCACATGACCTTGGAGGTGTCTACGGACAACGCCGGCTCTTCGGCTTAGAAATGGAGATGAGCACCACACCCCAGAGTCAGACATGACTGGACTTAATGTCAGGGGAAAACTATCCTAACTAGATGTTTAGATGAATGGAAGGGTTATGTTGATAAAACAATGTTGTGATCAGAAGCAAATCTAGTTACTCGGAAACCAGGGTTCAAATACCAAGTCCTGATGTAAATGCAAACATTCGAATGTGTATTTTAAAAGTGGTGTAAAGGTATGTGTCCGGTATCGCCAGAGACTTCTGAGGTTGAGTCTACATCTTAATGCTGTTTCATCAGAGAAATAACGTAGTTTTGTCACTTTGCTGTGAATGTCCCGAATTGGATGGTTGTCTGGGTAGGTGGGGGATATATAGGATGTTTATGTCATTTTTAAATGTTTTTTTAGAAGGACAAAATGCTCTTTTTTAAAAAAAACTTGTGTACAGTCTGTTTTTGTCTTGTGGAGTCACTACTTGAGCGTGTTATTAATTTTTCTAGTCCCGATGGATTCTAATACCTTAAATTATTAATTTATTCTTCATGAGTTGTCAGGATTTTTTTTTAAAAGACAGTTTTGACACACTTATGCTGTAAAACTGATGCTTAACTTAGATAACTTTTTAAGAAATCGCTATTAATAAATGTGATATGTGCCTAAAAGCAAAACTTCTCCAGTTGTATTATTAAACAACACAATAAGAAGCCGGTTGCAATATGAGTTTGTTATAATAACATTCTGTAACGACATTTGATAAAGTTTCTGTTCCTGATTTGAAAGTGTCGTTTGCAGCTTAATTGTGTGGTACTGTAGAGTCTCGCTTATCCAACATGAATGGGCCGGCAGAACGTTGGATAAACGAAAATGTTGGATAATAAGGAGAGATTAAGGAAAGGCGTATTAAACATCAAATTACAAATTAATCACCAAAGCATCATGTTTTACAACAAATTGACAGAAAAAGCAGTTCAATACACAGTAACATTATGTAGTAATTACTGTATTTACGAATTTAGCACCAAAACATTGCAATATATTGAAACAGCTGTGGATCCGGGCAGGAGGCAAACTGCGTTGGATAATACGGAACATTGGATGAGTGAAGGTTGGATAAGTGAGACTCTAGTGCACTTATTTTGAAAGTAGTTGTTATACCCTTGGGAAGGCCAAGAGCTTGAACACTGTTCCCACTCTAAATATCTCAGTGTCACCTAACATAGAATCACAGAATTGGAAAAGACCTCCTGGGCCATCCTGTCCAACCCCATTCTGCCAAGAAGCAGGAATATTGCATTCAAATCACCCCTGACAGATGGCCATCCAGCCTCTGTTTAAAAGCTTCCAAAGAAGGAGCCTCCACCACACTCTGGGGCAGAGAGTTCCACTGCTGAACGGCTCTCACAGTCAGGAAATTCTTCCTAATGTTCAGCTGGAATCTCCTCTTTTGTAGTTTGAAGCCATTGTTCCACGTCCTAGTCTCCAGGGAAGCAAAAAACAAGCTTGCTCCCTCCAACCTGTGACTTCCTCTCACATATTTTGTGTGGTGACACATTTGTGTGTGTCGGCTGCAGCGTGTAGGTGTGTCATGCAGATGGAACAAGAAACCTCTCATTGAACTAAGCAATAAATCATTCACATATATATATATGGGAGAAATATTTTAATGAAATATGTTGTGTCCCCATACATACTCGTTATTACAATTTATGTATGTGCTTGTATATCTTTTAAAGGGGTTATTAGTAAACATGTCACCAACATGAAATGTTTGGAAAGCTCTGACCTAAAGTATTATGGGGGGGGGGGATTGTTTTTTTAAAACAATGATATTTTTTTGCATAAAATGTGCTGGAGGTATTGTAACTCTTGGGAGAGATAGTCAAAGTGATGAACCAGGACTGTGGCGTCAGCTGCATTAAGATCATTACTGACTGAGTGGTCACGAGTTGGAAGCCAGCCCAGGTCAGAGGGAGCTTCAGACCAGTTTGTGTAAAGACTGCAAAGGTTAAGTAGGAAATTTAGGTACCGCTTATGTGGGGAGGCTAATTTAACTAATTTACGAGGCCATAAAAATCTCCAGCAAGTATGCAAAGAATGAGGAAGTACTTCATCAGTGTTGCAAAGTGACGGTGAAGCAACAGCTCCCCTGGTGGCCAGAAGCTGGAATGTTAAATAGCCTCTGAGTGTCTGTCTATATATGTTGTGTGTCTATGGCATTGAATGTTTGCCATGTATATGTACATTGTAGCCCCTGAGTCCCCTGCGGGGTGAGAAGGGTGGAATATAAATACTGTAAATAAATAAATAATTATATGTCCCTAAAGCTGGACACTTGAGGAAGATTTCCCAGAACTACAAAATCCAGGAAGGAAGGAGAAGCAAAAGACAAAAGGGGTGGTGTCATTGCAATACCAGTATTTAATAATAACCTTACCTCAGAATATAAAGGCATGGGGAGGCAACGAATTTCCCCATCAGATGCAATTGGAGCTCCCAAGAGTCCTAGTCAGCACAGCTAATGGCAAGGAGTTAGAGGCCAATACTTTCCAAAATATGACTCCAACATCTGAAGTGCTGAACTTTGTCCAATCTAATCCAAAGCGAGACCTGATCATAAACAACTTCAAACATTTAGCTCAGTGTTTCTCAAACTAAGGGTCGGGATCACTGGGGGGTCATGAGGAGGTGTCAGAGGGGTCATCAAAGACCATCGGAAAACACAGTATTTTCTGTTGGTCATGGGGGTTCTGTGTGGGAAGTTTGGCCCAATTCTATCATTGGTGGGGTCCAGAATGCTCTTTGATTGTAGGTGAACTATAAATCCCAGCAACTACAACTCCCAAATGTCAAGGTCTATTTTCCCCAAACTCCACCAGTGTTCACATTTGGGCATATTGAGTATTTGCCAAGTTTGGTCCAGATCCATCATTGTTTGAATCCACTGTGTTCTCTGGATGTAGGTGAACTACAACTCCAAAACTCAAGGTCAATCCCCACCAGACCCTTCCAGTATTTTCTGTTGGTCATGGGAGTTCTGTGTGCCAAGGTTGGTTCATTTCCATCATTGGTGGAGTTCAGAATGCTCTTTGATTGTAGGTGAATTATAAATCCCAGCACAACAACTCCCAAATGACAAAATCAATCCCCTCTCCCCAACCCCACAAGTATTCAAATTTGGGTTCAGGTATTTGTGCCAAATTTGGTCCAGTGAATGAAAATACATGCATATCAGATATTTACATACATAACAGTAGCAAAATTGCAGTTCATTTCATGGTACAATCCACAGTCTGTTGAAATTGTCCACATGCTCTAAGCAAGGAACCCGAGACCATAGAAAACAGGCTGGAAAGGCACACCACCATCTGGCTACCGCACCACAACACACCAAGAAAAAAAGAGGAGGAAGCAGAACGAGGTAGACAGAGCGACCAAGATTCCCGGAGACACACAGACAGAACCCCACACGCCGAACGAGCGCGGACAAAACTGTAGACAGACGCCTCCAGTCGGCACACGCCTAGACGAGAGAAACAACCTAGGCAATAACACTTCTCAAAAAAGTTCCCAGGCTCAGCCAGGCCTAAATGCTAATGAAGGTGGTCAGTGGAAACATTCACACCTAGCTCCAGCAGAGAAGAGCTCTTTGCCCCACCCCAGCAATTCCACAGATATATAAACCCATTGTCCTAATTCCAACAGACCTCACTACCTCTGAGGATGCTTGCCATAGATGCACGCGAAACGTCAGGAGAAATGCCTCTAGAACATGGCCCTATAGCCCGAAAAAAACCACAAGAACCTAGTGATTCCAGCCATGAAAGCCTTCGACAATATCTTTTATCTATTTCTCAATAGTACTTACAATGGTTCTCCCAGAGCTACCCTGACTAACCACCAGCACATCTGAAGTTCCTTCTCTAACTAAAGAGGCAGGGGAGATTCCAAAATGGAGATCTCTTCCCTGGGAGAAAGGGCGGTCTCTAAACCCAAAAAGATACCTCTAAGTCAATAGCTGCAAAAGGCCTGCAGACTTGCTTTCCAGCCTCTGAAACTGTTAACTTTTAGGGCTCTGCAGAGCTGCAGCATGCCTGGGAAAATGCAAGGGGAAGCAACTTCAAGCAACTGTAAGGTAATGCAAATCAGGCTCCTGGGAGACGGAACAAATACACTCAGACATGTGGAAGTTGCAGTAGCTCCTTCAATCAGAGAGCATTCTGAACTGTCCCAACAATGGAGTTCAACCAAACTTGGCATGCAGAACTCCCATGACCAACAGAAGATACTGGAGAGGTTTGGTTAAAATACACTCAGACATGTGGGAGTTGCAGTAACTTCTGCAATCAAAGAGCATTCTGAATTCCCCAACAATAGAACTCAATCAAACTTGGCATGCAGCATGAGGGGAGACAGAAAGAAAGAAAGGCACTCTGCGTTAGCAGAGCCAAGACTGATTCCACTGAAAGGGAAGCCTCGGCGGGCCGGATACATGCCCTTGGCGGGCCGCACGTGGCCCCCGGGCCGTAGTTTGAGGATCCCTGCTCTAGTGGATACCAAGGGCTGAATGCAATACATTTCTCTCTATCCCATGCCAATCAACATTTCCATGGACAACAATGAACCAGCTCAGCCTTAAGATTCCAACACCCTTCTGCACACTTGGTTTGGAAACAAAGCATTGCACAACAAGAGTCCACTTTGGTGGAAATTTCCTCAAGTCGTGGATTACGTCCAGCATTGTACTCCCTGAAGCAGTTTCATGATACATTTCCCCCCAGATATCTATAACATTGAAGGGATTTACAGAACACTATAAACTACATTGAACAATGCTATGTCTCCCTCTTGCCGTTTGCAGGAATTGCGATTCTGTGAGGAGAGTGAGTGTTACCCGTTTGCTACCTTGCTCCAGGAAAACTATAGCTCCCAGAACTCCATGGAGATGTGGAGGATAACAAGTGGGACATAGCAATTGAACACAGTTTTGCAAGGCTCTCTCTGATCATGTTGGGTTTTGTTCTGCTGTTCACAGATCAGAGAATTGGGACTGATTTGATGGTTCCAGCGTTGACTGATGGTCCAGGGCCCTTCTAGAAGACAAGTCCATGGAAGGAACCTGAGCTTCCCCCACCAGGATCATGCCCGCCGCCGCCTGAGGAATTGTCATCGTCATCTCCATCAAAGTCTTTCCACCAAAGAGGGGATTTGGGTAAAGCCGAAATGTAGGCACTTCTGCTTCGGGCTTCCTTTTCTTGCTCCTGCAAGGGAAAAAAAAGATACATCTATGGAAACCAGGGTTTGAATCCCTGCTTAGTTATGGAAAATCAATGGGTGACCTTGTGCAATTCATGCATACTCAGCCACAAAACACCCAACTATCGTATCACCATAAGTCAGAACTGGCTTGAAGGCACACAACCACAAGGAAAACTAGGTTAAGTTGTGTGGCCTGCATTAATAGGAGTCTAGTGTCTAGATCCAGAGAAGTCATGCTACCCCTGTATTCTGTCTTGGTCAGATGACATTATTGTGTCCAATTCTGGGCACCACAATTAAAAGGAGATGTTGACAAGCTGGAATGTATGCAGAGGAAGGCAACTAAAATGATCAAGGGTCTGGAGAACA